ACAAATTATAATGTCTCTTAAATTTTTACAAAAATTTGAAACACTCACTGTGTCTGGCAACCGTTCCAAAGCTACCCAAACCATCCGAAACACCTGAAGGTTCAAGCGTTCTTCTGAAACTTCCCGAAACCCAAGTTTCTGAAAAAGTTTCTTCGCATCATCAGTGCATAATGTTGATCAGCAAAATGGATAATGCTTTCTTATGCCTTGGTTATCTTGCAGCCTTCGACGCTCAGCTGCTTAGGCCGTGATAGACCTGCACATCCAGAATGGGCACCTACAGCAGCAGAACAGGGAACTGCAAGTCTGTTGGGCAGGTGCTCGGGCACGTGGTGTCTTTCAAGCACCAGGGAGAGCAGGCGAGGCCTGGGGAACAGGTGACGCCCCAGGAACTGGCCAGGCCTGAACCACCCGAGCTGTTCCTGATGCCTCTCCGCAACATGGAACAGCTTAGTGCTGCAGAAGCGCAGCTGAAGAACTTCACCAACAGGACACTGCCGGTATTTATGTGTCCTCTTTTTCACAATATTGACGGGCATAAGGCTGCGATTCTTACTTTGTGGTTTAACTTGGGTTATCTGAAGATTTATGCAAATGGGGTTGGAATGTGGACTGAAGCCTTTTACCGTAATATTTCAAATGGATGCCCACCCAAACTATGTTTTAAACACAGTCAGTGGCAAATTAAAAATGAGTAAGTTGCCGTCCCTTCATTACGGGCCTTCTGTTATTTATAACAGCAGAGTGCATGCACAGCCAATGCACATCGGAAGGCTATTTATTGTAAGGGGTACCCTTAAACTGAACCCTGCGATAGAATTGTGTCAAGGTGACGCAACGCCAGTTGCACGTTTTGCAAGTCAGCTTTAGTAGCCTGCGTAAAGTTTTTGCAATTGTTAAACTGCGTTTCATAGAGGCTACTGAAGGGAGAAATGATGGACGGTGGCCACCAAAAATTAAATATTTGTGCATCTTTACATTTTTGAACAGTTCTTTCCACCCGAAGGTCGTGTAGACAAGAGGCCTTCATGTGCATCCTCATTGAACGGCATTTTAAGTCTTTTTCAACTGCCGCTTCTTGAAATATTTTTAAGTAAAACATTTCACAACGGGGGAAGTAAAATCGCCCAACACATTTGCCTTTGGGTGCTTACAATATGTCGGCCTGCAAATAATCATAAATCATGCTGATTTGCTACGACACTTCTGCCCGTTTTATCCTTAGAAGTTAAATTCCGCACCTGCAACAACTCTCGCCGTGAGTATGTGTGTGGAGCACGCACAAACCTGCCTGCGTGCTTTTTGTGTTTAATGCTTGCTTGACAGAAGGATCGAGATGCTGTAGTATATTATGGGCTTCTTTTGGTTTTGTTCCTGTTCTCACTTGAGGCTATAGTCAAGAGATCTAAATATTTAGGGCGATAAATTCATTTGCGCTTTCGGCATCTGCTACAGAAGTAAAGGTACATGCTTGAAAATAACTTTTAGCCTGGTCTAAAATCACTTTTGAGCGTGCCCACCACATGCGTATGCCCAAACAAATTTGTAAGGGGTTGCCAGATAAATCTTAATTCCATCTTTACTTTACATTAGTAGTGCATTTTCAAAATGATTTTAACCAGTCCTAACCGAAGGTCACCCTATGAGAGGAAATCAAATTTTCCAAGGTGAAAGAGTAACTCTCATTGCATCCGCCACTTTATTCAGGGGGTGTGAGTGCATGCGTAGCTGTGTCTCCAGGCATAGCATACGGTAGTCGCACAAGCGATTATTACACGAGGCGAGCTTGAGCTGAGTAAGTTTGTTCATTGGCCTACAGGGCCACCACTGAGTCAGCACTAAACAAAAATATGGAAAGGTAACTACTCATACTGTGCTGCTGTTGCCATTTTTTGCAACTATGATGACGGTTTTGGTCAATTCCTGCCTTTTTATGCCTTTTTCAATTCCAGTCTTCGTAAAGTCGTAAAATAGGTGATAAATTTGCAGGGTGACTAACCGGCAGCTAGACTAAGCTTCAACAAAGTCAAGATGCGCAGGGTCTTGAATGCACTGTTCTGAGAACCACATACATTATTAAAATTACTGAGTGGATGCTGATGGGCAAAGAGGATCCATCAAAACGTTTGCACAATTTGAACGTTGCAACGAATTTGACTGACTATTGAGATTTAGGAGAGTATGGAGGGAAATATTTTAATCTTTCTGGTTTCGTCTAAGACAAGTAGAGTTGCCATATATTCTAATATTTTTTATTCTCTCTCTAGTAAATATGGTAAAATTTTGATGCATGTATAGTGTGGCTTGCTGCATTTACCTGGGCATTCACATTCTCTTACTTGAGACATGTTATGCATATAAATAACTTTATTGACATATTGAGAACGCATTTTGTCTTTCTAGGAGGGGCAGCTCGTCGTGTCTCTAGGAGACAACAAGAACCTGCAGAAGGTGGTGCGAGAGATGGTGGGACGCCTGTTCTCAAAGCAAGTCCAGGAGCAGTTCTCCGGCCCTTCTGGGCTACCAAGGAAAGTCAAGGTTGAAGGACGCCATGATGTGTAAGGTGGTCATCGGTAATGCATATTTTTTACTAGCTATTAAATTGATGGTATCTCTATTGGAGCTCAATAGACAAGCACAATCTTTGAAATATGTTGACAATTAAAGGGAAACTGAAACACTTCTGGACAAAACAACGAGTTATAGGTGACTTCTGGCGTATTTTTGTCCTGTGAATCCGAATATCGCTTTCGTTTTCCCCGAAGGTGTAACTAGACGCGAGAAAACACGAAAAACCTCAGAGCAGCCGTGACGTCGTACTAGGATCTTTGGGGCGCCAAGCACGTGTCGCTCGTGTGGGTGGCGCGTGCAATTGCAAGCTTCCCAGTTGTATTTTTCCACACTGACGCCAGTTGTGGCATCTATTTCTGACCTTTTTCCAAATTCAAGAAAAAGGTCAGAAATAAATTTTACAAATTTATTTCTGACCTTTTTACAAATTCAATTTTCCGAAAACTTTCAGCATGACGTCACGCCCCGGGAAGGAGGGGCTTCAGCTGTACTTTAGAAATTAATTTCTGCTTCTCCATGCACCGGATTGAAAAAATAAACTCGATATTCGTGATCCTGGAGGCCATATCAAGACGATTTTGGTGTTCTTCCTCAAATACAGAACAGCTTCAGTTTCCCATTAAGTCTTGCAAAATGCAAAATTTAAGTCGTCAGTTCCTGTCGCTTTTTTTTTTTTTTTTAATTTGACTTGCATTTTCTATTATGAATATCTCCTGTGTTAGCATTCTCGGAACCTTCATACTGAAAAGCAGCGTTTTAAAGGAACTGTGAAAAAAGGTTTTTGTTGGTCTTGTTTTGTTAACCTGTTAGTTTCCAGGTTGAAAATCTAATGACGACCATTTAGAGGCCTTGGTCCGTAGAGTGTCAGTTGGGGAAGTTTTGCTCTTTTTTTAGCCACTCATCTCTGCACCCCACCCCGTCTCACCCCCCATTTCAGATTAATAGGATGTTGCGTGAAATAGCCATATGCCTCCATAGAATCTGCACCTTAGCGTGGTAGCCAAACCCACAATCTCCACCTCTGTGGTGCTCTCTTTCTGTCACCTTTGAATTGCAGGCTGGTGAGGGACCCATATTTACACAAAGGAAACGCTCGCAAACTGCAGTGTTTGAACAGCACCTTGTGTGTAGCTAATATGCAAGATATTGGCTTCCCCTATTTCTCAACTAATCTGTGTGATCTGACAATTCTCTTTACAGGTGCCATACAAAGTCGCACTCGTGCAGCGTGGACGCGGTGCAGAAGTGGCTGACGGCCAGGGAGGCGGGCAAGGGCAATAGAGTTAAAAAGACGGACACTCCACTGGTGGTTCCAACCGCCTTTGACGATGAGGGACACTCTGGCTGAGGAGCTAGCTGCTATGGATGCACGAGTCACAATAAAGAATGTCACGGTAAAAAACATTTTGTATGTTCCCTTCTTGTACTACTCACAATATGCATCTGGGCGACAGATGAATGGGACATGTCGTCTCAACGAGTATACAGTAATTGCCATGAGTATACTGTATACATGGAGAAAGTCAATTGTTCACACAGAATTGTTTCTTAAAATTGCACAAATACTAAACCGGCTTTTTTCAGTTCAAGTCCGAAAAACATGTTAAAAACGGTCAGCACCTATAAAGATATGAAAACCAATAAAATGGTTTGGACTGAGAAATTTAGCATTTCCACGTTTAAGTCAATTTGATCTACTGAGAAGTTGGCTGTTCAAAAATGCAGTAGGATGTCATTCCTGGGCTTTAAAGCCTGACACAGCTAGCATTCTGCTGGTTCTATGCTGGATACACTGAATGACGCATACGCTGGTGCTGATCCGCAATTTCGCAGGCACTGACCCGCAATTACGCTGGCACTGATCTGTTTTTACGCTGGGACTAATCCGCAATTGGACTGGCTCTGACCCGGAATCACGTGGCACACTGATGGTTTCCTACCGTACCACCAGTTCCATGCCGGGGATATGTGTCGGGAGCTCGCTGGGAACATCCCGTATTCCCGGCATCCCGGTTTCCCAATAAGGTCCCGGTACCGGCCGGATTCCGGCATTGGGCCCGGCCGATGTCGCCCCTTGGGGCGTTTCCGGTACTGGCCGGTATCGCTATCCCGGCAGGCCAATACCGCCCCATCCCCAACCCGGCGTGTTGTGCTACTTGGAAAATGCAAGTGTCGTCTGAAACATCATTTATTGAGTGTAAAATGGGAATTGCCTCTGTTATCTGAAGAGATCTTTTAGCTGCTTGCAAGGGCTTCGAAAACTATAAAGATAAAAAAAGAATGCTTGAAAAATATGTTTATTCAATGTATGTGTTACCTGGCAGTAAGCGCTTCACAATCACAAGCCGCGGTAAGCTGCAAAACAATTCTTGTGCAGCCGCTTTTCGCACTAATGGCATTTGTTGGTAGTGTTTTTTTTTTTTTTTTTTTCACTCCGCGCACCTTTCTTGTGTAGCGCAGAAAATGTAGTGACCGTCAGTATTCATTTCCGAGATGCTGGAATAAACCCGAAGTCCAGGTCGCAGGGCGAGTTTCTGCTTCAGGTGGAGCAGGGACATGGCGACGTCCCGCGTGAAAGCTAGGTGCGTCATGGCGGCATCTGTGCCCTTGTGAAGTTCGCAGTGAAGGATCCATCCTGCAACTACAGTCATGTTGAGACTATTGCTGAAAAGATTCCACCACCAATTTTTGCTTCTAAGCCTTGGGCGGTAGCTACCAAGGAGGCGGTCCATAATATCCCCACCCTTAACTTCAACTTCAACTTTATTGTTTTTCTCCAAGGGAGAGGGGGAGGGAAAAAAAAAGCAGACTGTTGTCGCTTGGCAGAGTTTCTCCTCCCCACCAGCAACGAGAGAAAACTATTTTACATACTAGTGACCCGTAGAACAAGATTTACATAGGATCAAAACACACAACATTAAACAAAAAACAAAAACAAGAAAAATCTGACGTACTTTACGAACATTTTTTGCAGGTCGGAGGTCCCATCAAGAATAGGCACAAATAACACTAGAGAAACAATGAACGAATATCCTTTCTGCTCAAACCCATCAAGTCCGTGCCCAGTCTATGTGTACTATTTATAACATTAGGCAACGAGTGCTGCAACATCTGGAGGCCGTAGCCTGTTTTTGAACGAGGCGTTGACCATGCGTCAACACAACGGCCTGCATATGCAGGCACTCTCCGCTTCATATTGGCGATTGAGAGAAAAACAAGTTGATTTTGCCTTACAGACGTTTGATATGTTAGGAGAAGTTTATAATTATAATGCTCTGTAATTGGAACTATATGAAGGTTTTTGAAAAGTTGTAATGTGTGAGCGTTGAACTCCGCATTGCACATAGAATTATTCTCTTCTGGAGAACGTGCAAGTGATGCATATTTGTAGCCGTTGTGCTACCCCAAGCAAGGAAGCAGTAATTATAGCAAGAGTAAAAGAGGGAGTTATAAATAAGGATTAAGACCGAAAGGGGTAATATATGACGGGATTTATAAATAATGCCCACAACTTTTGAAATTTTGCCAGCTATGCATTGTACTTCGGCGTCCCAGCTCATGTACTCATTCATTATATTTTTTTTTATCAGATATGGTGGCGCAATGTCTACCCTTTTCTTGAACCGTCGTGAAAAGCGCTTTGCAGTACAAACAGGCTCATGGCTGAGATGGTTAGAGGCAACTGTGACCACTGCGTTGTCGCGCCATCTGCATGCGTATACCGCACCGTCACGCTTGTAGTCGAAAGCTCCTCTCTCCTCTTGTGCGATGTCTTTCTGGCTCCTCAGCGGACAACTTCCCATTCTTGTTTCTCGTACAGTCCCCGTCGCTCTTATTGCTTCGTCAGCCAGTTTCGTCAGGAGACCGTAAGAGGTGAAAAAGTTGTCGAAATAGTCCTCATGTTGCTCAGGACTAGACAGGACAGATACCATGTTGCTAACCACCCCGAGCCCTAGGGGAGCCTTGTCATTCTTCTCCTTTCTTCCGCAATATATCTCCATCGCATAGGGACACCCATATGGAGAGCACATCATCCATATCTAATAGCCAAATCTAATGGCCTTCCCGCGTATGAACATTTCGCACGAGTGGTGGCCATAATAGGGCACCATGGATTCGTCGATGCTGAGGCTTTCGTGGAACACTCCAAACTGGAGGAAACATTTTGAAATATCGTCGTAAAGTGGCCGAATTTACGCCATCTTCTCGCCTGCTTTCAACTGAGTGTGGTCCACAATGTGAAAAAATCTTTTCAGTTGCCTGAACCTATTGCGGGGCATCACTGTCGCCACTAAATGCACGCAAAGGTCTTCAGCCGTACTCCAGTAAGAGTCTTCGGAGGGAACGGGGTGATGACCACTGAGAAGTAAGAAACCAAAAAAACTGCCCAATATCCGCTGCTGTGACGCCCAACTCGGTTCCTTTCTGGAGTCCATACCTTGTAGTCATTTCAGCGAGCAACCCAAGGTATTCGGGAGAAATAATTTTGCTGAACAGCAAAAAGGGGCTCATGTTTGCAAGCTCAGGAAACTCCTCTACCAACGGCCGAGGGCGCTGGTTGGCAAGTGTTTTCTGGAACGTACAATGTTGACTTTATTCCGCTCTATTAGAAGGCTTTGGGGTCTTGTTCCCCGCCTTGGTAGAAGCTTTGTGCCGTTTTCCCGAAAACGCTGAGGTACCCACCACCGTTCTCTCACGGGTTTTCCTCGCGCGTCTCTTCCGCTGTGGCTCGAGACTGGTGCACTCCGGAGAATCAACGTCATCATCGCTGCAGTGCATGACTTTGACGTGGCCACAAACGTCAGCGGGAACAACCTTAGAGACGTCATATTCGTTCACGTGCTCTTCGTCAGTAATGTTGCCATCTTCGTCAGGTGGCAACTGGCATATAGATGCATATTCGCGTTCTTCATCGGAAAGGCTGAACAAAAGCTGAACTGCAGCCTCCAAAGTAAGGAAGAGTTGAGTCATGTCCTAAGAGGAGATCATTCCATGGTAAAGAAGTGTGCCACCACAAAAAAAGGAAGCCATAAGGTTGTTCCCTACTTACATTGACAAGTTGTGATATTGCCACGTACTGCACGTGGACGCCGCGGCTTACTCGTGCTTCGTGCTGAACAATCTCAAAAGAACGGCAAGGAAAGCTGCCATTCAAGTTTATGCCGACCGCCGCACAGGGGGCTCTACCAACAAGACTAAAAACTATGCCGAAGTGCAGGCTCCAGTTTACGTTGAATTTTGCTACTGTCAAATGCCAATGTTCCAAAAATGGAACGTTTGCAAAAACCTCAATGCAAGTGAAAGACGGAAAGGCTTTGGTTATTTATTTCTTTATCACATAATCGCCAATATGAATTCCCTTTATTTTATATTTGCTTTGTTCATTTGAACGCCATTTTTTCTTGCGAAATGACGGGACCCACAATTGGCTGTTAAAAAACCCAAAATATGTCATTTCACAAACACTGATTCAAAGTTTTTAAAATGACAGATAGTAGAAGCTAAAATTGCGGGGTTTTCCACAGTCATTGAAGAGTATGCGAGAACAAAAATTAAAAACAAAGGTATATATTTCGAAAGAGAACAAAAAATCGAGTTCCACACGTTCCAATTTTGGAACATTGGCAAGTAAAATGTTAAAGCTCTTTCTGAGCGGCGGAAGAATGCTAGACTAAAGTATATTTTTATGATGTATCATGTTTTTTTTCAACATTGACTACACCCCGTATTTGAAACCCCGTATAACTCGCATTCTCAGAAATAGCCATTCTAAAATGATCCAGCCTTTTCAAAGTAGAGTTAATGTATTTCACTGTTCTCTCTTTCCTAAAACAATAGATGAACGGAACCTTCTACCGCAGGAAATTGTGAACTCAAGTTCCCCTACAGAGTTTTTAAATAATTTAAAGCGCTTTCAGGAACTAGTTTGTTCATTGTTACTATTGAGTGGTGCATGCCGTTTGCTAGTTTAATAATGTTGTCTTTGTAATATGATATCAAATTATACTTGTTGATGCGGTGTTTCTAGTTTTCCTGCTGCTGCTTATTTCTGTACATTTTTACTCTCCTGTAATGTATGCGGTGTTCTTGTTTTATTGCCGTTGTTTATTACCATACTTTTTTTTACCCTCTCCTGTAATGACCCCAAGAGGGGTTAAAGTATCTTGAAATAAATAAAATAAATAGAATACCGCTAAATTTAGCCGGGAGTTCGAATTGACGCATAGTTCGCGTGACATCAATTTTTTCACTTGGCATACAGATCACGCGACACTAGGTCACGTTTGTTTATTTCCCCTCTAAATTCAGCAGCAAACTGTATTGGTGTAACAGGATGTTCAAGTGGGCGAGTTAATACATGACTACAACGTAAAAACACCCCCCCAACCCCCCCCCTCCTCCCCCCCCCCAAAAAAAAAAACAACAAAAAAACAAAAGGCGCAAGTGATGAGTGACCACACGCAGAAATGGCGTTTATGTCCAAGGACGTGAATTTTCCCGGTAAACCTTGCTAAAAAACCGACGTATCGGTCACGTTACACCGATTTCTTCACTTGGTGTATAGATACGGCCCCTAGTTTTTGTGTAAAATTCGATATTTCCCTATATTTCTACTCCGAACACACTTTTTTTTATAAAATTGGGTTAAACCCGATTTCTTCGCGAATTCGTAAGAAAAATTACGAGAGGTTCACCTTTTTTTCTGTTGTAAAAATGGGAAGCTTCTAAACGAGAGTTGTTGAAAGCGCGCATCACAGAAGCAATGCAAAAAATATTCGAGTTCTTCTTTTTTTGTAATTTAGTGAGCGCTACCCCAGGAGTCCTGACTACGGAATGTAGCACGGGCGTGCTGCTTTCCAATTGCAAGCTTTGATGTTGAGAAAACATTCAGTTGAGATATGTCTGAAAACTGGACAGTTGTACTATAGGGAGAGAAATGCTGTGCATGCAGACGATTATGCATGTCAACAAAAATTTGTTGAAATTGGTATGATCAAGCGAGTTTTTATACCACGTCTTAATCTGATTATCTGCACATTAATGACTTGTTTGCATAAGTAAAACATTCCGTGCACTGAAACCGATCAGTACTTTTTATTGTTACTTATATTAATTGATGTATATATAACCAGAAAAAAAAAACGGAATTCTGTAATAGTTTTGGAAAAACCTAACTTCTTTCCTATTGCGAGCTCGTAAAATTCTGCCCGGTTTTTATTCGCAGACTGCTGAAAAAATATAAAACCCGTAAAGGAAGGGCGCGTTGTACAGGTCCCACGTGACGTCAATTTCCTCGCTAGATTTAATGAAACATACACATGTTGCAACAACGGACATCGGAAGGACAGACAAAAGTTTGGGAGTGGGGGTCCACTTACAAATCATTTCATGCACCGATAATTTCACTAGAGCCCTACGCGCGTTATGCGAGCAAAGTCAAATACAGGGTGTCACAAAAAAAGAAAAAGTACACGATAAAATGGCCTGCAAAAATAAAATAAACTTGACGAATCTCGTAACAACTTTTCTCGAAAATGTATTTAACTGGTCACATTGTTTTGCGAAAATTTGAAGTCGGAACTCCAAGTACAAAAAAATAAGAAAATAAAAATCTGATTTTTTTTTTCACCGGCGGAGTGGCAGCTGTTGGGGAGGCACCGAACGACGGCCATGTTTCTTTGCCTTATCCAGAGATGGCGCTTCAGGAAATCTAACTGGGCAGCCTGGACTTAAAGCCCCTACGTGCCGATTGAAAAAGCGCGCTTTTATCCGAGTTTTTGGTTCCGCGGGATATTTGCTAAAATAAGGTTGTTTGGGTTTTCAGTTATGTTTCACGATGCAGGAAGTATCACGCCATAAATATGAATAAGTAACACCGCCAAATGTTACTCTAGAAACGACGTAGCTTCGCCTGCGGCGGTTCTTGTTTCGTGCATCGTCCGCTTTCGCAGTTTGACGCTTGAATGAGACACGGGAGGCAGCCAGGAGTGCGCCCGAAAAAGCAGCGATTTGGTGGCTCTGAAAAGAGCCGTTGAAATCTGAACTGCGGTCTCCGTAGTTGCGGTCAAAGGCTTAATCACACACCGATACACTCGCATGAGGAAACACAAACATTTAGACTTCCAGCTCGAGCTCGACGTGCTCGCCGCAAACTTCGATACATCTTTCCAGCCTCCTTCGTAGTCCTAGAAGACCGCCTCTTGCAATTCATCACTGATGGTCTCGAAAGCGTCGATAGGCTCTTCCAGCTCCGGGGTGGTCCTCTATCGCCGGGCGTACACTTGGGCCTTTACATACTTCCTGACAAAAAAAAATCGCAAGGGGTGAGGCCAAGCCATATTCGGAAAGCCGCGGCCCAACCAGCTTTCTGGAAACTTGCGGTTGAGCCAGGCTCTCACGTGGGTTGCATAGTGGGGAGGGGCCCCATTCTGTTGGAATGTGCAAAACGCACGTTGCATATGCGCAGATTCCAGCTCTGGTAAAATCTCTTCCTAGAGCATCCTGAGGTACGAGTAACCCATCAATATCGAGTCGACAAAGAACGGGGCGACGACACTCTCTGGCCATATGCCGCATCACACGACGATTTTCGGTGACTGAACAGCATGTTCGGTCAACCAGTGCGGGTTCGTGCCATAGCACAACCTGCAGATTTGCTTGTTGACGCGGCCGTCGAGATGGAAAACAGACTCGTCCGTGAACAAGAGGAACTGCAGGTGGCAGGGGTTGGCCTGAATCTGCACCAGCTCGTACTCAGAAGACTGCACTCACCGTGCGTAGTCCTCCGGCTTCAATTCGTGCAGGAGCTGCGCTTTGAACGGGTACATTCGCCGGCGAAGCACACGCCACACGAAGCCCCCCCCCCCCCCCCCCCCCCCCCCCCCCCCCCCTCCGCCCCCGGCTTGCGCTGAGTTGACGAGAAGCACGCCTGAGCGAGAGGCGGAGCGCCGCTTCGAAATCGTCGAGAACGGCTTGCTGCTGTCTTTGTTTCGGCGACGTTTCTGCAGTGTTCGGAGGTTTTGGTTTTCACGTTTCCGCCTTGAACAAACCTTGTCACCCGCTTGATGATAGTGGGCCTAGAGGTTGGTCTTCTGTTGAAGACGGTCCTGCACTTCATTCGCACTTCCTCGAAGATTCCTGACGTTGTATACCAAAGAACCTCCTGGAACCTCTCGCTGGAACTCACTTGACACATGGTGAGGTGTTGAGCATAATAATAAAAGAAAACAGCGTTAAAAAATGAAGTAAACACACAGTGGCAAAAGTGCGAACGTCAAACTTTGAAAGCAGACGATGCACGAAACAAGAACCGTTGGAGACGAAGGTACGCTATTTCTGGAGCAGGATTTGGTGTTTTCTTTTTATTCGTATTTATGACGTGACACTTTCTGCACTGTGAAACTTAACTGAAAATCGAAACAACATTATTTTGGCAAAAATCCCGCGGAAGAAAAGACTCGGATAAAAGCGCGCTTTTTCGCTCGGCGCGTAGGGGCTTCACGTCAAGTGAATCTGTAGCGCCATCTCTCTATAAGGCAAAGAAATATGGCCGTCGTTCGGTGTCTCACCGACAGCTGCCGCTCCGTCGTTTAAAGAAATAGAGTTCCATGTATACACGTTTGCAAGTCCGGTCTCAGGGCGCCACCATCTTGTCCAGTGGGGTGCGCTTGGGCGCGGCCATAATCCGATTAGGATGCCTTAGCAAGGCTTGGTAATCGGATTATGGCCTTCTCCAAGAGCACCCCAGCGAGCAAGATAGCAGCGCCCTGAAGCCGGACTTGCGACACGCTGTTTACCAACGAGCCCGCGTTTGTTCACACCCGGTGTGGGCACTGCGCGTGCGCAGAAACCGAACTCGCGTGAAGTGAAGTGTCTGCGCATGCGCAGTGCCATCGACAGCGCCACCGCAGCTGCGTGACGTCAGGGTCCCGTGTTGGTCTATAGGCTCCCTACTGTATAAGTTGCGCGCTTATCCCTGTAGCGCCAACGCTCCTGCACGGAACGGGATTGTGCACATTAAGTAGGCGAATAGCGGCGCCGCGCTCTTAAGGCGAAGTGGCCGTACCGGTGGTTTTCCTGCGCGGTACTTGGATTTTGCTCTTCATGTGATTTCATCTCGACGATAGCGGCGCGGCGGCACGTGGAAAACGGACGCGCAACTCTGGCTGCCAACTAAAAAAAAAACTGTTTTTATTTTCTTATTTCTTAGTACTCGGAGTTCCGACTTGAAATATTAGCCCAACAATTTGACGAGTTAGACATTTTCGTAAAAAGCTGCTACAAAATCCGTCAATTCTTTTTTTTTTTTTTACATTTGCAAGATATTTTAGCGAGTAAAAATTTGTTTTAACCCTGTACACGAGCGCGAAGGTCTTTGCGAGGGAGCTTGCCCTGCACGGGAATTAAGAATCCTTAAAGCTTAAGGATACCTTAAAGGGAACGCGTCTCGTGTTTAAATTCGAATCACGACACTCGCTCTATGTGCCCACAAAATAAGCTGTACTTAAAATATCAGCACTTCAGTTTGGATTATCGTTTGGCTACCGCCATTTTGGTGCTTAGTGCACAATGGGCACAATTGGCGATCCATGCTATTCGAAAATGCGACTTCTGTGAGGTCTAGATACGGGATCAGAAGCTCAGGCGGCGTCGTAGTCCTTTGTCGCTGACTGTTTTTTTACATTTCTGGGTGGCCGAAAAACATGTTCCGCAATTTCATTACAAGAAAGCTCCAGACAACTGGCAATTATGCTTTTAAGCAGCAATATGAGTGAAGTGTCGTTACCGCGGAGCGTAGCTTTCCAAGTCACGAGGCAAGAAGGCGGAAGCGGGATTGTGGCCGTTCGACCGTCAATTTCTGTAGTTACCATTAGTTCCCGCATGCCACTAATTGAAAGCTCACAACTTCAGAAGTAGGCAGCTCTTTATTTTAAAAATGTCCGAGAGATAAACCTTCAAAGAAAATCCTTTTTTTTTTTTTTTGTGCAGTGAATTTCGCGCGGCGTCATGGGCACCTTGATGTGGAACGCTCTGGTGGCTGCAGTGGTGGCACTGGTGACCTGCGTCGCCTGGTGGATCCGTGACAGACGTCGAAAACACAGCTTCTTCAAAAATCACGGCATCCTCGGACCAGAACCGGGCCTTCTCTGGGGAAATAGGAAGGAGCTTAAGAAAGACGCCATTAACGTACGTAATGTAGACCCTTTCCCACTATTCAGCCTGAAAGTACGGTGGGAATGTACTGCGGCAAAGAAAGTAAAATGGCAAAGAAAAGTTCTGTTTTTTTTTCTTTTCAAGGTTGTGATTTCTGCTCATCATGAGCCTGGAGAAGTTTCTGCTCATCGTGGCAACCTGCCGCCCCGGCAGGTTGCCACGATGAACAGAAACTTCTCCAGGCTCATGTCAGATCAAATTCGAACAAATTCGTGTTATCAGATAAAAGGCACTCAGATATATAGAAAAAATAAATGCCTTAATTTTAAGCTCCATCCAACGAGGTAGAGGGGCTTAGAGCGATGAATTGGCATCCCGTTCATCAGCCAAAAGTGATCCCTGCTTGGCTGCCGCGATGTTGTACAATTTTGACCGCTAGACACGTGACCGTGCCAAATCCTGAGGCTTTTGCGCAAAACTGACCGAGATTTGTACTGCGATCGCAGTAAAAAGCATGATAAACTACTTTTCGATACTGTTAGCCCCAGAGATCAATGTCTAGCTTCAATAAAAACCCAAAATACAGCACCGCGGCTGACGGCAGCTAGCGGAGCCATTGCGAAGCTGCCCGAGTGTTTGTCGTAAAAGCACATTTTTGGACCTAAAACAAACGAAACATAACTCGTCTCATCAATACTGTTATTAAAGATCAATAATCAATCATTTGTGCGCGGCGCTTTGTTAAAATCTAGAACTATAAGGTCACGTCTCTAGTGGTCAAAAATGTGCAACATGGCGGTGGTTAATTAAGGGTCACTGTCAGCTGCCAGTTTATCGCTATAAGCCCCTCTTCCTCATTGCCTGCATCAGGCTTAAGACCCTGTCTGCCTTTCAATCTGTGGTTCAGGTAGCATATCAAATAATTGCTGTATAGCGCAAGGCAACGATGCAAGCCAAATGAAAGCAGAAATTATAAAGTACGGGACGTCCAGTGTTAATACTGAGCTCTGACCTTTATCTGAGCCAACTCACCCTTTTGGCTACGCCTTTGAATGCAAAATTCCACTGTAATGAAAGCCAAGCGAAATTTCATCCTCGTCCGTGGTGTCCGTGGCAAGTCACGTGACCTCAAGTCATGCAACGTCATGGCGTCACGTAAATCACGGTCTCAAAAAGAAAAAAACAAAAACGCGTAAGTTGTGCTCAGTGTTGGCTTTTACAATTTTCTTTAGAAAACACCAACTAAATTATTTTAAATCACCGCTGGGAACCGAGTCTTCAGTGAATAGTTGAAAGAGGGATGCTACGTTCGTTTCGAGCCTTTGACGAAGCCTGGCGCTGTTAAATCAAATCAGAAAAATGTTTTGACAGAATGAATAATGGGGCAAACTACTTAACTCCACTTTCTGCTGTGTATTATACATTTTAACGCCATATTATCAGACCGTCACCATGTAAAAACAGAAGAAAACAAATTATTAATCTAAAAATGTCATCATAGACTTTTTTTAAAATAAGTTAGTCGTCAGTCGGACAGTTGTTCAAATTACGTTGAGTACGTTCTCGCACCACCACATTTTTGTAATATTTGATCAAGTTCAGTTCCATATAAAGTACGCAGATCAACTTATAAACCGGGTGTTGGCTTAAGGTGGAGTTATACTCAAATAACCTTTGAGAAACCTTATTTGTCTTAATAATTCTTTACAAACACTTTTCGCGTTTCTTAGGTGATGGAGAATTGGATAGAACAGTATGGGAAAGTGTTCGGCTTCTACCAGTCAGAAGTGCCCTTCATCGCTCTTAGTGATGTGGAAATAATTAAGCAGTGCTTCATCAAGGAGTCCAACGTGTTCCACGACCGACCGTCAATTCCACTGAAGGTGGAGCCATTTGCGAGCAGTCTGCCCTTCCTCAACGGTGAGGTCGCTTTCCATTTTCCGGGGGGGGGGGGGGGGTGCTGCGCGTTAGCTAACGAAAGCACGCTGGGATTCCATTTCCCATGTATTTTGTCAAAATGGCAACGTGGGAGTTATTTTCTTTACATGCCACTACTAGAAGCTCGTTACATGGCACGTTAACAGCGCCTGAGTAAGAATCATTATATTCCGGTTCCGGGCCCGGGGGGGGGGGGGGGGGGGGGGGGGGGCGCACGAGCCCCGATGCCCCCCCCCCCCCCCCCCCCCCCGAACTCTACGCCTATGTTCTATCGGAATAGGTTGTATAATGAGTAGCCACCCTTGTTTGCTTCGAACTGTTTTATATAAGAACACTTTTTGACATGTTGCGAGGCCTTTTGGTATGTATATACTTGTTACTCGTTGTTTTGTAGCGTGCTTATGTGGTTTCTCTCTTATTTCAAGTTTTAAATTACAAGGAATATCGCAAGTTCGCCTACTTTACGTTCCTTTTTGAAAAAGTAAACCAAAATAAACATATTTTCGCAATCGTAGAGACGAACAATGCCAGTAAGGTTGCTTTATTTTAGTCATATGAGCACAGATTTCACACGATTGCTGCTCGAATAAAGGACATACAACCGATATATTGAATTTTTTTATTGGCTCTTCTTCTAGTCGACTATTATATAAAAAAACATGTAAAAATATTTTAAAACATTAGGTTTTTAAAAGAATTGCTTTTAAACTTTCAACATTTTTTATTTCTCACAACGTTTCCGTAAAGGTGACGGAGTGTCTAGTGAACAGATCACAATGACATTATTATATTTATAATGGGCTTGTTTTGGGCTTTCTAGAGAGCTGAAGAAATAAAATTTGCCTTAAGTACAGACAAAGTAAAAACCTGTCAAGTTTGACCAAAACTCGACCCGAACGAAGACTTTGACAATTTTTGAGCAAAAAATAAGATTGCTAAAAAATTTTTAATACACCAGGGTATCTTTATAGTGTCTATTAAATGAGGGAAAAAAAGTTAAGATGGAAGAGGAAAAATAGTAGAGGCAGCAGAGGTTCTCAAACATCCGACCTGCGACGGCAGGCAAAAATACTAGAACAAACAAAAATAAATAAAAGATATGCGGTTTGTACTCTCTTTCATTTGAGAAATTCCCCAAAAACATATTTCTTCGTCAAAAATAATAAAAAAAAAATTAGCAACTATTAGCCTGCCCGATTTGAGATGAAACCACCCATATTTATGGCAAACTAGAAGACTAAAAAAAAGCAACAGTGAATACTGCATAACAAGATCTCGAGCATCCATCAGAGATTTAAGACCGTGGGTCATGATGTAAAAATCATTTGGATGCTGTCGGCATTTGCACGCCATTACACAAAGGCATTTTCCCATCAGCATATAGGTTAGTCTACACAGACGTCTGGATCAGACTGGAGAGCAAACGATTATCTTATAACTATACGTCCTCCTGAGTCTGATTTTCGTTCCATTCTTGGTAAGCAGTAAGCATCAACTCCCTGAAAGAACGGAAGACCCGTTACAACAGTCTTTATAAGTGCCGTTCTTTCACGCAAAAAAAGGGATAGACGCCTTAGGCCTCTAAAAACGTTGACGGTTCACTTACACCATTTAGAAATTCTTGAAAGGTACGTCAGGCCCCTTAGAAGGCTACGATAAACATCTCAAACCCTTTAAATGTTTGAGGGGTATGTGAAAGCATTTGAGAAATCCTGGTGGGCCCCATAGACGGTTTTTCCATAGGGAAGATTGGTCGTCTTCATTGGTATGCCTATTAATTTATGAATTATTGGCTCCTTATTAGAGTGCTCGTTGGCTTTGATTTAACACACACTTACATAAAGTAGGTCTGATGCGTAGATGGGTTATGTTTACTACATCAGGGGATTCCTAGACATGTCAAATTCATTAATTAAAGAATGTAAATCACAATTCAATATATTCCTTAAAGTTTTTTTTAGAAGTAAAAGTTTCTAGATACTTCACTCCAATGTTTTAGGCGGAATGATAGATTAATATGGTGAAACAAAATATTATCTATGCGCCGACTGTCCTAGCACACAATTTTAGCTTTTTCCAGCTCTAGCTTTTCCACACATACTGTCATCTAACATCGGCATGTTTAACCCTACCGATATTGTTTATTTTTTAGAACGAGCAAGCTTACATAAATTGCGGGGAAGTTCATACAATTGCATAAAATATCTGGTAACGAAAGTTTACAGGATGCGTATTGAGACCGAAAAGGTGCCGTCAATGCGATTACAACATTACATTACAAGCAGCTATTTGTTTAACGTGGCATTGAACGGCCCTTGTTTTTGAGCTTTCGTCCATAAGTGCCATGACCGACTGTTCTTGAAGAAGCTTACAGCGCTGTTGACGATGGGCATTAATAAATCCAAAACGCTATAGCCAAATGATGGCTGGCATTTTTATCTTCCATCCACTCTCAGCGTGCCGCGCCAAATCTTTGCATACTTGTGTTTGACCTTACGCGTCAAAGACCTGCAATAAAAAAGCGTGACTTGTCAAGTAGGTTGCGCACTTGCAATCCTGCAAATAGGTAATGATTTTATCTCTAGCCGATCTTCTAAAGTGTTCTCTCGCATAATTAAGATAATGCCGGTAGCATTAGCCCTGCGTGGCTGCAGCGAATTAGTCTATCGCCGGTGCCGCTATGCCAACATCGGCGCCTGTGAGGTTCCTCTTGTTTTTGTTGTCCCAAGTTCACCACGTTAAAGCTTTAGTTTCCTAGTTTTTTCGTCTTTGTCACTGGTTATTAGTGACAATATTGAAAACCGACTTACATTATTCAGATCAGACTTTCAATAATACAATCTGAAATATTTATGCCACTGCCGGTTGTCACATAGCATTACGTTTTATATCAGTCCCACGAATCTCAGCAAACAGAACCAATAATAAAGTTCCCATTAGAGCGTACTCATCACACACTACACTGATGAATAAATTTGAAAATGCCTTTGATATAGGGATTTATCAGTTGAACAGATGAGTTTGCATCGCGAGCAAAACATTCAGTACCACTCCAAGCTCACTGGGACCAAACATAACTGTACGTAGACGTTCCGAGATTATTTGAAAAACACCAATAAACATCTGCCGGTTTCAAAATATTAAAATTGGATAAAAATATACCATCTGAAAAATTATTTTTCCGGCGCAACGTTTTTTTTTGTCGAAACCTTGCCTTCTTACATGTTTTTCGGGTGCGTAATCTAACCTAGACTCAAGCACCTTGTAAGTCCATTCAGAATCAGTGTAATCACTGACCTTGGGGGACGGTGGTATCAAGTCAGGTAATCGGTCACCACCAACTGCTACAATATTTTCCTTCTATATTTTTCTTTTTAATTTGCGTTTTAAGCGATCTTCCTCATCAGTAACTTAAAATTTCGCTCCTCAAGTACGCGAAGACAATTAATTTGGCTTATATTTCTAGAATCTCCCATTTTTTTCTTTTGATCGGAGGTTGTATTCTTGTGATCGAAGCGAAAAGGCATTAGCAGCTCGTCGTATGGCGATTGTGGTTAAACCGGTAAACCATGTCCTTTATACCCTTAATTGCCTATTTGAATATTTCTCCGGTAACGGTGACATGTTCTGTTTTTTTTCCACACACAATAATATTCCATTAAATTTTTTTGAGACGTTAAAATAATTGAAGGTAAATTTTAATTAAATCTAGTGACGCAAACATTGCTTATGTATGGTTATGCTAATAAGTTTTTGTTGTGCTAATACTTTTTTATAAGTCTCATTGATGACGCGTCAGACTTCTTGACCAATGGAAACTAAATGTATGTTTTATTTTCGTAGTATTTGTGTTTGTATACCACAAAATATTCAACATATTATCACGTGCTTTGACCGCGAAATTAAAGTAAGACATTTTTAGAGTGCTTTAGAAGAATGTCACTGGCATATACAGTAAATGGCCATGGCTTATACAGTGACCGAAAGAAGTTCGCTTCTGATGAGCACAAGATTGTGCGGAACTTCTTTATTTTGTCATGTAAATTTGGTGCTATAAAGAAATTAGTCCTCATTTTTCTTTCCGGCTACTGCATATAACGCGTGGTAGCGAAGAAATTTCGCGGATGACAGTAATCGAAACTTGAGTTATAAACTGGTTTAAACGGGTTCGCGCCTGGTAGAAGGGGTAGCTGAACCAATATTTTGCGCGGTTGACTGAACCGGAACTAATTGGGAGCAAAATTCAAAGCTGTTTATTTCTAACTTGAACCGAACCGAAATATTGACTGGTTCGACACCCTAAATATAACTACCCGAATTGTCTTGCAGCTGACACCTGGAAGAAAGTGCGCACTGTGCTAAACCCCACCTTCAGCGCAGTGAAAATGAAGCAGATGATGCAGATTATGAACGCTTGCACGGATGAGTTCGTAGACGTGCTTGATGACTACGCCAAAAAAGGAAAAGTGGTGGACATGTTCAAGGTAGCCCAAGGCCTGTCACTGGATGTGATTACAAAGTGCGCTCTGGCCTGGCAGGTAAGTCTGCATTTTTTGTGTTACTCACCACGTGCATTGCCTGGGTTGTTGCTGTAACGTATAACAACGGATGATATATTTTACCTTGATAAATACGGTACCTTTGCTCAGTTTGCTCGAGGTTTCGTGCGACCATAAACGCACCAGCTATCAGCAATGAGAGGACAGGAACTAGTTAAAGCCTTTTTCACGACGCTTTATTTGGCGCTAACGCAAAGCAGCGTCTGTGAGTGCCAGCGGACAAGTGTCCGTCTTACCGCAGCGAAATATTGGGCTGGTGTCGACGTCTGCGTTTTACTGGCACTGGTGCTTTACAAACATGTCGTTCACCTTCTGGCTCTGATATTTTCCAATCACGAAAGTCCTTGATTAGCCTTGTCAAGTGAGTAGTTCTCATAGCCTGAAAGCTAAGATAATGCCTGTAAAATAAGATAATATCTGAGGACCTTGTCTCCAATGCTTGGAGCAAATGGTGAGGCTCAAATTATAAAACATTTAGAAAATCAAATGTATAACAAGAAGGGATTCTGTACTGATCACGCAACCACTCCCAGCGAAGGACGTGCCTTCGTGAAGCTACCACAGACGTTGCCGCGCGCGACGAAGGTTATGTGGTCCTTGGATAGTAGAAGCAAGTAGATTCTGTTACCACAGACATGCTTCAAGTTTCCGTCGTAGAGCATTTCAAAAAGCTCTACACTAGGTTTATTGACATTCCCCAGTTTGACAATGTCACTCGCGTTTCTACTCTTCAACCAAAACTTGCCACTTGTTTTGATTGGTGGACCATGGAATTTTCGATCAGCGGAAAGCAGTTAGCATAACCTCTATTCACGGCTTCAACCTAATCGTCATTACCTTGTTCTAGCAACATACTCAAAGGGGTTGATGTCGTGTTTGCGCTAACTGTATCGCTCAGCAAGTTCTTCGATTTTCCCAGGTGTCTCGAAAGGATACGACGGAATTATACGCTTATACCAATAAAACAATTTAGCACCGCATTAACCCAGAGTTTGCCCTGAGTCAAGGGGATGTATCTGTGTCCAGCTTTTTCTCTCTCCCAGCAGGATAGCCTGAATAGTCTTGACCACTAGGCGGCTATGGCTAACCTCGTGCAGGGATATCACCATGTGTCTCTGATCTGACTACCGAGTGCTGCTTGGTTATACCTCTCACTTAGGCTTGGTTTCCTCGAGGTATCGCTTAGTCTGACTAGGCTCACTCGAGATGCCGCCTTGCTGAACTTCCTGGTGGGTGAGCCGGGTTAGTGGTGAAATGAACTCTTATCATATGGGAACCGCACGCCATACCCTCACAGTCGGAGGTCGGAAACATATTCGGCTTGCAGAACGCAAAATAACTGAACACAAGAAAAAAATTGACAAAACTATAAGTAATATCAAGCGATGGCCCTTATGACCCGCAAAGTACCACCCCGCCATTCCCTATAGGAGAAGGAAAGAAAAAGGTTCCTGCTGTTACAAACATCCAGAAAGTTGCTTCAAGCGATCCTCTTTTGGAAGTGTAACCTGAGACAGCAAGCAAGGCGCTGCTCAAAGCAAACGTTTTTTGGAAAGATTACGGCCCCTCTCACTGCACATAGCACTCTCAACTCAAAGAAAGGTGATCTCTTGGGACGACCTGCTAAATGTCCCAGAGAATGAATTTCTCGAGGGACTCGCGGATGAGAATGTTACAATGCGGATGAGAATGTTTAGCGAATAAAAATCAAGAAAAATGACAAAGAGATTCCAACAAAGCACATAATACTCACATTCAAAACACCTGACCTACCTTCACGCATTCACGTTGGCTACATGAGATGTGAGGTTCACCCACACATCGCGAACCCACTCAAGTGTTTCAAGTGCGATCGGTACGGTCACCAAACGGCACCATATCGTCGACCACAATGTTGTGCAAAGTGCTCCAGCAAGGATCATGATGCGAAAAAAATGCTCTAACTCTTTTCATAGTGTAAACAGCGAGGGCAAACACCCTGCCGACTCACGCTGCTGCCCATCCTGTCAATACAAGAATAATATAGTACGAATTAAGATCTTACAGAAACTAAGCTGCCATGCTGCAGGGAAAGTGGTATTTGTGCAGCTGCAAACTCAATCCCTATCGTCTCAGCCCGTTAGGGGTCAGCAGAATGTCAGGAGGCAAAAAATAATAAAAATAATTGGTGGGGACTGTTTCTTCCATACCCAAGAACTACCAACCTCTTCTTTTTTAAACCGGCCAGAAGCCCAAACTAGTCAGGTGTATCGGCGAAGTGAAAGAACAGCCTAAGATGGGGCTACACTTGCTCTACAACCCCTAAGACCAAGTCAAAATTGTCTGGGAGAAAGTTCTGAAAGTTAAGGGGCAGTCATCAATGAATGTTATGAGGATTCTCGTCGTCAATGACAGAGAAATTGCTGACATCAACGATCCACCTGATGAACTTGTTCAGCACTTTGCTTTCTGATTGAGTAAGCATTCCCCTACAAGCTTTCTTAGGGAAGATATAGCCAAGCTCGAGAAAGAACGGCTAAAATACAAACTGGATGATGCTGCTACAATAATAAGATATTCTCACTTTATGAGCTGGCATATACAGTGAACAAAGTGAAAAACACGGAACCGGGACCTGACAAAGCGCACTGTGAAACGATTCGCCACCTTTCAGAAAAACAAACTCTGTTTGTTTTGCGTATTCTGTACGATCGGATCTGGACTGAGAAAGTCTCTTTTGAGTTCCTGGTGCATAGGTCATGTTATTGAACTCCGTACAGCATTGAAAAACAATATTTTTATCCAGCTAGCCCCCAGCACGGCTTTTTTCTCATCCCCGCCATTTCATATAATGGGAAATAAAGAATATTTTTATTATTACTTATTAATATCAAATTAGCTACTTGTATCTCTTTTTGAGTCACGACACTTTGTATATAACAGCCAGAGTGGCTTTCAGCGCTTCCACTCAACGCAGCATGATCTAGTTCGACTGGAGAGGGAGATAAGATTTGCGTTTTCTTGACACTATACATCTCATTATTTTTGGACGCGCAAAAGGCGTAGGACACAACCTGAAAACACTGCATTTTTAGAGATATTGTAGACCTTGGAATAGGTGGTGGGATGTTCTCTTCTATTCAGGTTTTTTAAAGCAGGCTTCTTTGGGAGAATATAGGAACTAAACGTTCCCAAGTATACGCCCAGGAAATTGAGTTACTCCACGGAAGTCTGCTTAGCGTGACCCCTGTTCTGCATAAAAACTATTTCTATTTCCAAATGCCTCCCTGCAGGCATTTTTATGTCTTTATGTTGACGACTTCCAAATGCCATTCAGGTTGTCGCAATGCTTACAGACGGGTATAAGAACTATCCAACGAGCCCTGAATGGGCTTATTCGGGGGTACCGAGCAATGATTACAAGTTTTCTGGAGAAAAGAGAGTCGTTGGTCATTTCACTAAAAGAGAGGGTTGTTCCTATTTACAGAACTCTAGCTTTGAAGCACAAAGCTCCAAACAAAACCTGAACACAAACTCCTGGGGTCGTGTTTGATCAGAAGCTGGTCCTTGCTCCACATCTTCGGGAGCTTAAGGCGAGCTGCATCAGAGGGTGCAACATCCTTAAAATGCTGGCTGGGACATGATGCGTAGCAGAACGTGAACCTATTTTGAGAATATACGAATCACTGCTCCTCTAGGAACTCAAGCATGAGCGAAAAGTCTACGGCTCCGCAAGGCCGTCGGCGCTTCGATTTTTCGATGTTGTTTATTCTGCAGCCTTGAGAACGTGAACTGGTGTATTTATAGCTTCTCGTGTAAATAGCCTATATGTGGACGCCCACCATCTTCCTCTCGATCTGCGACGTCAATATCTATCTCTAAGTTATGCTGCAAATATAGCCGCCTTTCCACTCCACGTGGCTGACCAAGCTATTTATATCTGAGAAGATAAGAGGATGTTTAATACTCAGAAATTTCTCACTCCAACCTTCGCGGATTCAGTACCTCTGCCATGTAATTTCCATACCGTTCAGTATAGCATCTCCAACATCTGAGAAAGATATCCCTTCATAGAAACGGATGTCTGTTGCCTACGACTTTACAATGAGGAGGTATTCCAAAGGGCATATAATGCCCCCTGTGTATGTACCTTATTTCAATGAATTCCATTTTAAATATGATGGATATCAATCACCATATTAAGCACTGAAGCTCCAAGGACAAGGACAATTGAAAGACGTAGACAGGACAAGCGCTACACTCACAACTGACGCTTCATAAATGGTCATCAAAGAGGATAAAGACGTTAAGGGAATTTTAAATTTTGAAGCAATGATAGAACTACAAAAATATTCACTCGGCGTGATGTTCATTAATATGAATAGCCATCATAAATATAATGATTTACATAATTACAGTCTATATTACACACATTTACATAAAATGAAGATTAAAGTAATTAAGTGACGATATTTAAACGCCAAAGAAGGAAGATGAAGGTAATTCAAGAGCACCAATGATAAAACTCTAGCGCTTTAAAGACAAGACTATCGATGCCGAACGTATGTAAACTTCCCCTTTCGACGCTAAGCCACAGTTACCACGCTGTACTCTTGGACAACATTTTGTGGCCATGCAGTCAAGACTATGGGCATAGGTGCTCTTCCATATCTTGAGCGCCCATCAGAACTGCGCACGCGCACTCTTCACTTCTGAAATAACTGTCCGAAATTATAGGCCGTACTAGTCCCTACAGTGTGGTAACTGTGGTGAAGCATAACTGCAGCTAATAATATATTTATAATAATAATATTATTATTATAGCCAATCAGAACATTTCCCTTCAAATTCAGATTTACGAGCATCGGAAGTTCAGACTGTTATCGGATCCCTTTTGGAGGCGCGGGTATTCACAAGGTTTAATTAAAAACACACGTAAACAGATGCAGCAGGGACGAGAAAAAGCGACTAATAATTACAAAGCATGTGTGGTGGCTATC